ACGACTGTGACATTTCTTTTCCACACGGATGCAAATTGGATGACTTCAAATGTCGTACCGTAGGTTGATGTCTTTGACATAAACTTCAGGTACTCATCCTTGTTGCTATAAGCAAAATTTGAAATATCTGCATAATCTAAACACTGCTTTTCTAGCTCTTGCCAATTGGCTTTGATATATTCAAGTATAGCCTGACGAACTTCTTCATGTCTAAATGGATGACCATAAAGGATTTTCGAAAGGGTTCGAAATAAGCACGCTCCATCACCAATGGTGTGAAATGCTTTCTTTTTAGAGATCTCTTCGACTAAATCAGGTTCTACCTGGCTCTTGTTTGGGATCTTGATATTACCAGGCACACGGTGACTGGCAGCTAAAGATTGCAATTGTTTATAACTAAGTTTCTTGAGGCTTGATTCATCCATCCTTATTTTTTATTATTTTAGTAATAATTGTTATTATATTTTGTAATTATCAGTACTATTTACCAAATGGTAACAATGCTTGCCATCATTATTATTTAACCTCAATAAATTGAGCAACAATTAAAATAGCATCCTGCGATACTGACAATTACTTTTTAGCCTTGCAGGGAATCAAGATGGCTACTTGATACTTGATATTCCGTGTATTTGTGACATGTCATCTATTGAGCTTGTTCAGCCGAACTCATAATAATAATAATAATACATAACTTTCATCTGTAACTAATAAAAATCATTTTTCTAAAAAATTTTGCTTATTATTCTCACAATTTATCTCCAATCTCCTGCTGTCAATTTGTTTCCGAAGAAATAAGAGAGAAAATAAAAACTAATTTTAAAAAAAATTAAAAAATCTCATAAATAAATAAGGTTAAAAATATAAAAAAATTAAATTTAAATAGTTTAATAATTAAGTAACAAAAAAGTCTTGAAGTATATTTGTCATAACATTATTAGTTTATGAGATATAAGCATTGTAAGAAATAAACAATGCAAATTTTTATAAAAAAATGCGTGTAGTTAGAGAATTAAAAGAGATAAACGTTAGTTTTAAAATTTATAAGAAAGGTTAACTCATACTCTACAAAAACGACTTAGAGGTCGAAAGCTGTATCTGCAATAGTTGCAAAGTTACAGCAATTTGTTTGTTGACAAATCGAGTCAGTGCTTGGACATTGTCGTGCTTCAAAATCCAAATGTTTTTTAAAAAATCGAAAAAAATTTTTTTTGCCATATTGCTGTAGGTTGGTGTTTTTATAATTTTTTTATCTTTTAAAAAAAAATTAAAATAAAAAAAAATTGTTTATAACAAATTGTTAAATAAATAAATAAATAAATTGTTGACAAAAAAAAAATTTTTTTTGCCATTATATTTAGAAATGAAAATTATGATTTAAAAAAAAAAACTATTCCTTAATCATTTATTTAAACAATCAAAAAATTAAAAAAACGATTATAAACAATAAGATATTGTTTTTAAGAAAAAAATTTTTGTTTTTAAATCATAATTTTCTTACGCTAACAATGTAGTGAAAAAAAATTTTTCAAAAATATTTAATCAATTCATTTGCTTATAAAAAATTTATAAACAAATGGCATAAAAAAATTTGAAAAATGATCATTTGGTGCGTAACAACGATATAAAATCAGTCATAACTTAAAATTAAAAAAAAAATTATTTAACATACATTATTTAAATTTTTAATTTTTTTGTTGCTTTAAAAAATAATAATTAATGAAATAAAAATGTTTTAGTAACTTTGATAACGCCATATCGTTGAGTATGTTTATAAAAAGGGGTCCAAGAAACAAAAAATTTATAGATTAATTATTTAAACTTTTATACCGCCTTTTATGACAACACAAACCCGTAAAAAAAATGTTAATTAACAATTGAATAATTTTTTAAAAAATGGTGATACAACTTTCATTTCCGCGGAATCATATTGTTTGAAGTGTCTAGATGACACCAGAATTTTTTCAAATTTTTTAATTAATATTTAATTGCCTAAAAAAATTATTAAAAAACTATGCTCACTAGAGAGGGGGCGCGCGCATGCCGAAACTGCCGCGCAAAAGCTGATTTTCAACGCTTGATTAAAATTATAAACATTGGAGCTACAATTTCGGGAGTCGAGAACTTTTTTACTAAAATTTTCTGCTCTTTCAGAATCTTTTTTTTAATATTTCAGCTATCACTTATACTTTTTGAGATATTGCCAAAAAGCTGGACGGCTAAATTTTTTTACGGTTTTTTGTTAATAACAATTACAATTTTCTTTTCCTCAAAAAATCCAAAAAACTCCTCTTTCTAGACGCCATTCCGGATCGTTTAACCCATCAACCATATTTTTAGGAGACGGGCAAGTATTTTTCGCAATAAATCAACTTCTCGACTAGACTATACATAAATAATGATTTATTACCTCAAGAGGAGAAAAACCCCAGCAAATGCTGAGGAAAAAACTCCTCGATGATGTACAGAGTGGGTGTGAATGTGTTATGTATGTTTAAGAATAGATATTGTGTATATCTGATAATTGTGTGTAAGAACACAATAGGGGTGAGCTCAACCGCTTTTTAGAAATGCTGGAGTAGGAACCAGTTAAAATTTCTGGTGTAGGAACCAGTTAAAATTGCTGGTGTAGGAACCAGTTATAATTGATACTAGTATATGAACTAGATAATGATAGATTCATTAGATAATTATTCAAAATGTAAATGATGACGATTTATTTTCACTGAAGACGCTTGTAATTAAAATAGTTGCTCCGATACGTCTTTGTCTTAAAGACGCAATTGACGAACGCTATGTCGTTATTAGTTAATTTATTCCCGAGTTTATTAATTTATTTCTCAATAATATTTATTAAATCTGGGTATTAGTTAATCAGAATATGAGTAAATAACGTTATTAATTATTATTAATGAATAGACAGCAAGAAATGTTTAGTTTAATTAAAATGAATATCAATAATATCTTGACATGAAAAAAGAGCTCGTATTGCTGCTATTGTTTTTGCACAACTGAACAGCGACCAATCGACCAAGCCACGCAGACTCGTGCCGGCCGGCTTCTCCCTCGTTTGTTATTTGCGCATGAGGGGCAACCATAATTTTGACAAAGTTTTCCGATAATACCCGAAATTGATACTCTAAATTTTTACTTGTATTAATACAAATTATGTATGTGTGAGAATTTTGTCTATACTCAAGACCTTACTCCAAACAGTAATCAATCATGATTTATATTGTAATAATATTGAGAATATTTTTGAAATTGCCGCTATTAGTCGTTGCATATGGTACATTATCGACTCAGTCCTCTGACGTCAAAAAAAAAACCACGCGACTGACGTGCCCACTTGCGTGTTTGGCCGCATACGCAACAGCTGACACAAGTGTTGCTTATGATAAGAGAGATAGTGTGTTTATATTTTATTTATTAATCTAATAAAATGTCTTCAAATAAAACCGTCAATGCAATAAGTGTTGCATTTGCTCAAAATCAGTAAAAAAAGTATCGGGAACTCCTAAAACCCTGTTAACAGAAAAAGACATTGATGAATTTTCTACAGCCTTTGATATTGACTTTTCCACTGGTGATATTGTTGGTGTTAAATGTCGCTTGGAGTTGTATAAAAAAAGACAAGTTGATCCAAGTGCAAATGACATTGTCTCAGTCAAGTTCAGATGATCCTTCTATCAGAGCTAACATCACTTCTACCGATGACAGTACAGAGAATATTGAGGTTACAATTAAAAGAACTGTTTCAACCCATGGATACTACCCATGAGTATCAGAGAAAGTCGTATTCTGGTCAAAAGAAAGTACCACTGTGTAAGCCATTTACAATTTGCACAACTGATGGATACATAGTTGATATGCTGGGACCGTATTATGCTAACCAAAATGATGCTACTATAATGCGGGATATTATAGATAATCCTGATGGTATATGTCTATTATTAGAACCTGGCGATGCATTTGTGGTTGATCGTGGATTCTGTGATGTTAAAGAATACTTAGAAAGTAAAAATTATAAAGTATTAATGCCAGCACTTAAGGAAAAACGAAATCAATTAACAACAGCTGAGTCTAATGCTTCAAGATATGTGACTAAACTTCGTTGGTCCGTAAAGGCAACTCATGGGATGTTAAAACAAAAATACCATTTGCTCGATCAAAGAATTGACAACAAAATGCTTCCAAGAATTGGAAATTTCTTTAAAATTGTCTCATTTTTACATAATATGTACAGTAAGCGTCTTACTTCCGACTCAGAGATTTTGGATGAAGTCGTCGAAACAATGAAATAACAATCACAAATCAGTGTAGAAAATACGTTAGCTAATGAAGTTCAACAAAATAGCTGGCAACGTAAAAAATTCAATATTAATATCTAAATAATTCTATTAGGCTAAAAATTTTATGTAATAAACGAGTATTAGCTAGTCGGACTAAATTTTTCTAGCAAAAATTTTTCAAAGTTTAATAACTCGATGAATATTGAATTTAACCAAATTTTATAAAGAATACTTCCTCTTTAAAAATTCTTAAAATATACGAAGATAAAAAATCAATTAAAAAAAATGAAATTTTTCAAAGAAATTATTTAAACAATTAGCTATAAACAATGTTGGAGATATAGTAATATAGTAATATTCGCACGTACACTACACACACACGTCGACGCGTCGATCTACTGCGCATGCAGTTGCGCTGTACTATTGTATACTTGAGTAGTTATCTATTAGCACGTTGTGGAGTCAAGTCGTAGCATTCTTTTCTATCGTTGTAATTAGTTACTGAATAAATTCATACGTCGTTTATATTAAATCTGCTCTTAAATAATTTATATCAACTCTATCCCTGCCTAACTCCCACAGGTTATGGGCCCAGTGGCGAGAAAGTAAGTGAGTGATATATAAAAATAAATAAAAGTGAGAATTAAGAAATAAAATTCGTCGAGTAAAAATTTCGTGAACACGTGGTCGTAAATTAGCTAACCAAACATGGCCGACGGAGCGTCGGGTATCGAGTTACTAGACAAACGTAACTACGATGTCTGGCAATTGAGGATGAAGTCCATCCTGGTGAAACATGACCGATGGGGTTATGTAAGCGGCGAAATACCGTATCCGATTGGAAGCAACGCCACGGAAAGAGAAATCGCGAAGTGGAAAAACGGCGACGAGAAGGCCAATGCGGATATTATCTTGTCGATTGGCAACGCCGAATTGAAGACGATCACAAAGTGCAACACGTCGAAGGAAATATGGGAAAAACTGCAGTCAATTCACGCGTCGAAAGGACCAGTGAGAAAAATTGAGTGGCTGACAGAGATAACATCTTTCAAAATCGACGAGGAGGATGATTTTCGGAAACGACTGGATAGCTTGACGAACGCCGTCCAACAGTTAGAGGGTATGGACATCAAAATTCCAAGTGATATGCTCGTGGTATTAATTTTGAAGAGTCTACCACCAAGCTTCGAGAATTTTCGGTGTGCGATTAGATCAAACGACGAATTACCGACTACAGAGGCGCTGATTGGGAAAATACTCGATGAAAATCGAAGTAGGAGATCTGTAGAATCGGCAGAGGACAACAACGTGCTGTATGCAGGCAATCGATATGGAAGGAAGCCGCAATAGAGAAAATGTAAGTTGAACGGTAGCAAACTATGTTTCATATGTGGAAAAATTGGTCATTGGGCAGCTAAGTGCCCTGAACGACAACAAAATTCTGCGAGGAGCGTCGAATCGTCGGAAGAGACCCACTATGTCGTGGATCAACCTGAGGAGGCCCACAACGTGACTTCAAGGTCGAGGTGGTGCTTAGATAGTGGATGTACCACGCACATGTGTACTAGCGACGAATTTCTGACTGATATCCAGGAGTGTGAGATGACGCTGAACATGGCGAATGCAGCTTCAACGAAGGCGAGAGCTAAAGGGCTTGCTCACATCAAGGCGAAGACAGACACAGGTAATATTGATCTAAATCTTCGTAATACCTTACTTGTTAAAGATCTGAGGACTAATTTAATTTTCGTATCGAAAATCACTCGGAACGACCGAGAGATTTTATTCAGGAAGGACTACGTCATCGTCAGGGACCTGAATGGAGAGGTGAAGTTAGTCGCTGATCACATAGGAGACCTGTATTACCTACGGGAGCAGACGGAACAAGTCAAGGCAGTGGAAAAGGCGTCGGAAAGAGCTAGTACGTCGGATTTAGACCTATGGCATGCAAGGTTAGGACACTTGCATATGGATGACGTAGTTAACCTGTCAAAAGTCAAGCGTCGGGGATAAAACCTTTGAAAAAGGACACGACGTCATGCAACGTGTGTTATCGTGGAAAATTGACGGCAAAGCCGTTTTATCCGAGAGCCGAGAAAAGTCAGCGAATGTTCGAAATTGTGCATTCTGACCTATGTCAACCTTCAGGGACGAAATCTGAAGAAGGAAACCGGTACTTCGTGACCTTCATAGATGACTACAGCGGCTGGTGTGAGCTGTACCTGTTGAAGAGCAAACACGGAGTATTCGAGGCATTTAAGACGTATAAAAATTACGTAGAGAAGCAAACAGGGCTTAAAATTAAGGCATTGCCGTCTGATAATGGTCGAGAGTACTGCAATAAACAATTCGACGAGTACCTGAGGCACGAGGGGATTAAGAGGCGACTAACAGTGCCTTACACGCCGCCACAAAATGGAGTGGCAGAGCACATGAATCGTACGATCGTCGACATGGCTAGGTGCCTACTGATCCAAGCAGGATTTCCGACAATGTACTGGGGAGCAGCTATTACGACGGCCAACTACCTGAGGAACCGTTGTCCAAGTAGAAGCCACGGAGGATCTACACCATTTGAGTTATGGTTCGGTAGAAAGCCAGGATTAAAGCATCTGCGAGTACTTGGAGCAAAAGTGTTTGTACTTCGAAAGGAAACAGGACGTCAAAAGCTCGAGAAAAGATCAATCGAAGGAAGATTGGTCGGCTATTGCGAAACCGCAAAGGCCTACAGAGTACGACGAAACGACGATGGCAAGGTAGTCATCACCAGAGATGTACAAATCATAGAAGAGAACGTGATGAGATCACGTAGTGCCGTACAATTGGACGTCGAATATACACACCCTCAGGAAGAGGATCCAGAGCCAGGGAGAGTCCTGAGAGACAGGAGATCATGCAGAGAAATGATCTCATTGATTGAAAATCGTACGCAGGGTACGTATTTATGTTTGGAGGAGCCGCAATTAGCTGGAGATCCAGGAAACAACGAACCGTGGCCTTTTCGACGATGGAGGCCAAATACAAAGCGCTTACGGAAGCAATGAAGGAGAAGGCCCATGAAAAGGCCCATGGGAATAAGTGAGACAGATTGATCCGTGTACGTGTTCATATTAAGGGAGAGTGTTGGAGATATAGTAATATAGTAATATTCGCACGTACACTACACACACACGTCGACGCGTCGATCTACTGCGCATGCAGTTGCGCTGTACTATTGTATACTTGAGTACTTATCTATTAGCACGTTGTCGAGTCAAGTCGTAGCATTCTTTTCTATCGTTGTAATTAGTTACTGAATAAATTCGTACGTCGTTTATATTAAATCTGCTCTTACATAATTTAAATCAACTCTATCCCTGCCTAACTCCCACAAACAATTAAATGTTCGAATTATCACCAAAAAAATGTGATATTCGGATTTAACAGATAAATTACGCAAAATTTAACTTTTGCCATTCAATTAGATACTTAACACCAAAATTAAACAAGATCTACTTTTAAAAAACTTTAAACGCGTTTTTCTCAAACTGTGTTTTTCCATTCGGTGACTAATATAACTCGAAAACCATTCGGTGGATATTAATGAAATTTCAATATTATCTTTTTAGCATTAAAAACTAGTCTTTAATCGAAGAATATTGATTTTTGTTGACAATTACTATATTTTTTAAACAATTAACTTTTAAATTTTTATCGAAAATCAGAGTCCAAAGTTTCGAATGCCACATTTTGTAAATTTTCAAAAAAAAAAAAGCTTTGACTAAAGACTGGATTTATCATTAAACTAAAGGTTTCACTTTGGTTTTTCGAATTCAGATGATCCAGAAGGCTGTTGTGATGGTCACCGCGAAGTACTACTCGCGGGAGAGGATCCAACGAATATGGCGATATTTTAATAAATAATATATATATTTTTTTTTGTTTTTCATAAATGTTAAGTTAAAGCATTGTATAAAAACTCTGTATAATTTATTTTGTAAAATAAACTTAATTACTGTAAAAAATAAATTTTTTAAAATAGACCTTTTTTTACGCTTCTGAATGTATCTACCCCCTTAATCAATATTTTGAACTTTAACTTCTTTGTAGAAGTATCATCCAAGGAGTGACTATAGAGAATTTTTGGAGCTGTGATCAGTTTTTTTAAGAGTTGTACCAAAAGAAAAATTTTCGTTCAAAAGTCCAGGAAAATATTTCAGAATTGTATTAAAACTACTCTAATGTCACAAAGTTAAGAAAAAAAAATTAGAAAAACGGTTGACCTTGAAGGCCATCCCTGCAACTTCTTGCTAATTCCATACCTAGGCGCTTAAAATTGCACTTATGACGTTTTCGAGCTCTCCGAGCTCAAAAATACGATTTATGTGTTATTTTGAGCTCTCCGAGCTCAAAGAAATAGCTTTGCTATGCTTTTGAGTTCTTCGAGCTCAAAAGTCTTATCAAAATTCGATGAAACACGATTTTTCTAATTTTCAAACTGCTGTAATTTTTTAATAAATCGACCGATTTTCACGCGGTAGGCAGCGATCGATGTGGTTTTTTGAGCTCTATAAATGATTCTGAACAAAAAAATTGATCCGATGAAAAATTTTGGAGTAATTACAAAAAAACACTTTTTTCGTTTTATTTCGACTACGATATCTCACGAACGCATCAACCGATTCTGACGCTTTTGGTGGCGATCAATGCGGGATTTCAAAGTTAAGAGCTGATTAGTTTTTGGAGTTAATCGGTTCAGCCAATTCGGAGATATTTAAAAAAAATGAAAAAAAAACAACTTTTTTTGTCACTTTTTTTGCAATTTCTCGAAATCTACTGGTCCGAATCGGTTCCAACTTACAAGAAATCTAAGTTTAGCGAAGCCCTTTCGAATGACACCAACCGCGATAAAATTGGTCAAGCCGTTCAAAAGTTACGAGAGGTTTACAGACACACACACACACTCACACACACACACACACACACACACACACACACACACACACACACACACGCCGCGCAACGAGAGCCCCAAAACGCTCCCTAAGCCAGGACTTGTATTCAAAAGAGTACAAGCAGGCCAAAAAGACGCTAAACCGAGCCATCAAAGCAAGTAAAGCAAAGTTGTGGAAAGAGATCTGCAACGATCTCGACAATGACATCTGGGGTAAAGCCTACCAAATTGTCGCCAAACGACTTGGAAAGGCTTCACCAGAGCGCCAAAGTCTCCAGCCTTAATGGATAGTATCGTAGCGGAGCTTTTCCCAAAACACCCGCCGCGGGAGAAGAAACACTACACTAAAAACAACGAAGTAACGCTCTTCATAACTAAGGAACTACAAGACGCGGCCAAGTCACTCAAAAAAGGAAAGGCACCTGGACCTGATGGCATCCTGGCATCGGTGATCAAGATTATAGCCCTGGAATACCCAGACTTACTCCTGAACATCTACAACGCATGCTTAACAACTGGCACGTTTCCCGCGGTCTGGAAACGGCAGAGATTGGTTCTCTTAGACAAAGGTAAGGGAACCCCCATAACACCTTCGTCGTTTAGACCCTTCTGTATGCTAGACATTGCGGGAAAACTGCTCGAGAAGCTCATACAAGGGAGACTTCGCGACGACATCGACCGGGCTGGAGGTTTTGCCACCAACCAGCATGGCTTCCGGAAAGGTCATTCGACAGTCGGAGCGATCAAGAAAGTCATAAAGACAGCAACACAAGCATGGTCTGGTAGCCTCAAAGCTCGTAAAGTATGTCTTCTCCTCACGCTAGATGTCAAAAACGCATTTAACAGCGCGAATTGGGGAGACATTTTAGACGCTCTGGAGCACAAGTTTGACGCGGAGCCAGAAAATCTGGCACTAGTCGACAACTATCTTGACGATAGAAAGCTAATAGTGAAAACTACTGAAGGCCCACAAGAATACGCCATAACGGCTGGCGTGCCGCAAGGCTCGAAAATGGGGCCTGATTTATGGAACGCAGACTATGACGAGCTTCTTGAAATCCCGTTGCCAGAGCAGGTAGAGCTAACAGGCTTTGCAGACAATGTTGCATCCACTATAGTGGCGGACAGCGTGGAAGAGGCCGAACTGCTAGTTCGGGAAACCATCGACACCGTCGAGACTTGGCTCGATAAGCATCACTTGAAACTCGCCAAACAGAAAACCGAGGTTGTCGTTTTGACCCGTCAAAAATGGTTCCCAAAACCATTCGCTGTGGACTTGGGAGGAACAACACTCACGTCAACAAGGGCCCTGCGCTATCTAGGGGTAATGATAGACGAGAAACTATCTTTCCGTGAACACCTCGACAGTGCATGCAAGAAAGCCAGCAAGACTGTGTCTAGCCTAGCACGAATTATGACCAACACCATGGGACCAAGAACAAAAAAGAGAAGAGTTCTTCTAGAAGCAGTCCACGCGGTACTGCTTTATGGTGCGGAGATATGGGCAGACATATTGAAGCAGAAGACCTACCGGCGAAAGATAGCAGCAGTACAGCGGCGAGGCGCTCTCAGGGTTGCCTGCGCCTACCGCACAGTTTCAGAAGCGGCTGTATTGGTCATTGCGGGAGCCGCGCCCATCGACCTATTAGCGTTCGAAAGAGCAAAACTCTACGACGCTAAAATCAGCGGTGAAAACATGAAGGAGGCAAAAACGAGGATAAAAACGGAAACGCAGCAAGAGTGGCAGGACCGATGGACGTCGGGAGAGACAGGCAGATGGACAGCGCGACTGATCCCAAACATCAACGCCTGGCTCTCTCGGAAACACGGGGACACGGATTTTTTCCTGACCCAACTACTGACAGGACATGGGCAGTACAACGCCTATCTCTTCAAGATGGGTTTACACTACACATCAACATGCAAATACTGCCCGGATAAAATCGACGACGCCGAACACACATTCTTCGAGTGTGCTCGGTGGAAGGACTACAGAAGAAGCACCGAAGAGATCATTGGCACCAGGCTCTCCCCCTCAAGCCTGGTGACCTATATGATCAAACAAGAGGAAAACTGGTCAGCTGTTGCAGCTTATGCACAGCACCTCCTGAAAGACAAAATCGCAGAAAGGGAGCAGTAGCCAGGAGTAGGCGTCGTGAGACGCAGCACGACTGGATTGAAGTAATGCTAACGCGGTTCCAATCCAGTCCTCTCCGTACCATCTAGGGGAGAGGGGAAGAGGAATGTTTTTTTTAGTGGGTAAAAATCTCCACACTACCGACTATCGATATCTGCCGTAAGATGGGCGGCAGAGTTAACGATAGCGGTGTCTTTTGAAGATCTTTTTTCGTACCTCTTTCAAAAAAAAAAAAAAAAAAATACGCACACTTACACACATACGCACACGCACACACACACACATACCTACAGACGTACGGACAACATCGTGAAAATAGTCAGGAAAGCTTCCTAGGACCTCGAAACGTCGAGATCCGATGAAAACTCGATTTTTGAAAAACGGGGTGAAAACAATAACTTACCGATTTTTGAAAATTTTCAATTTTCTTAACGGGAAGTTCAAAATTAGAAAAACAGTTGAGCCTAAAGACCATTCCTGCAATTTTCCTCTATTTTCATACTAAAGCGCTTAAAATTGCACTTACTACGTTTTTGAGCTCTTCGAGCTCAAAAATATAATTTTCGTGTCATTTTGAGCTCTCCAAACTCAAAAGTCTGGTAGAGGTTAAATAAAACACTATTTTTTTAATTTTCAAACCCCAATAACTTTTGAATGAATAAACTGATTTTCACGCGGTTGGTAGCATTCGACGCAATTATCTAGGCCTTGAAAGAGTTCTCAAGTCGATTCAAGTAGGAATTTTGATGTAATTTCGAAAAAACTTTTTTTTCGGTTTTTTTTCGACACCGATAACTCACGAACGAAACAACTGATTTTGACCGGGCTAGCGGCGATCGACGTGGCTTTTTAATGTTAAGAGCTGATTAGTTTTTGGAATTGATCGGCACAGCCGTTTAAAAGTTATTCCAAAAAAACCACATTAAAAAAAAATTTTTTGTAGTTTTTTTAAGATTTATCAAAATCGACAGGTCCGAATCGATCCAAAGTGTATTCAAAATCTAAGTATGGTCGAGCCCTTTCGAATGGCACCAACCGCAATAAAATCAGATGAGCCGTTCAAACGTTATGAGAGGTTTACATACGGCCGCACACACACACATACACACACACACACACACACACACACACACACACACACACACACACACACACACACACACACACACACATTCGGGAAAGCTTTCTAGGACCCCTAAACGTCAACATCCGTTGAAAACTCGATTTTTGAAAAACGGGGTGAAACCAATAACTTCCTGATTTTTGAAAATTTTCGATTTTCTTAGCGGGAAGTTAAAAAATTAAATAAAAATAATTATCAGCTGAAAAAAAAAATAATTTGAATTGATTGACAAATTTAGATACGATGGTATAAGAAATTTGACAAAATTTTTTGATAAACTTGATAGTTTCTTCAATAAATTGGAAAAAAATGAGAAAATATTATAAATTATATTTTAAAGTTGAATATCTTCGAAACGCATCGGTTTATCGAAAAATTATAAGCGAGCATTCTTGTAGAGCGTTTAATTCTCTACAAATATATGATCTGACTCAACTAGTCTGATGACTTGTTAAATAGTTACAAAATTCCAAAGTACGAAAAAAAAATTTTCCCACGTTAATCAAATGGGAAATTGATATTTTCGACTCGGCACCTCTTAATATTAATATTAAGATCTCTAATTTTCACAGGATTTTTTTTTATCATTTCGAACAATATTTTCAATATTAATAAGAAAAAAAAATTGTCGTTTTTTTTTTTATCAGTCCACTGATAAAATAATGATACATCATTATTTTTACTATTTCATAGAGCGTTTTAC